CCAGCCAGCCAGCCAGCCAGCCAGCCAGCCAACTTTGAATCATTTTCATCATTTTTCAACTCTACCCACTTCTGCATTTTCAGGAGAGGTGAATTAAGTACCCCTTATGATACAGCTATTTCTTAGGATGGCACTACAGTCCAATACATCTTGGTCTCCATCATGCCTGCAAATACTTTTTTGGCACTCACTACATTCATACTGTCTGTCTGTCTGTCTGTCTGTCTGTCTGTCTATCTATCTATCTATCTATTTATTTATTTTTGATTTAATCTTAAGACAGTGGGAACCTAGAATGTTGGTAGGTTATTAGTCTCAGATATACACTGCATTTTTCACAACACCATTGGGTTCCCTACAGGCCAAGGGGGTATGAAAAAACAGTGGTTAACTGCAGTCCAGTTCTATTCAGAACTGTGTCCAACTACCATAAAAATCAGAGCTGAATTGTGGGAGTAGAATATCCTGAGGAGCTACTTAATATAGTGGGCAGCAACCTCATCATTTTGCTTTTTGGTGTGTGTGGTTTTTGTTATCTATTTTATTTTATTTATCAACTTGTATACCACCACAATCACCAAAATAACCTTAAGTGGCTATTGGTTGCAACAATGTCATAACAAGGTCTCAAAATTCCAAGCATGCCCACAAAGGTAGGAAAGACTCCTGTTCTACATGTTTACTAAGCTCAATGTGCCTTACCCACCAGTAAGTGGGCACAAAGGATTGCAATTATAATCTCACTTCATTTCCTGAATGCCACTCTTTGATGATATAGACAAGTTGAAACCTGGACAAACTTAAAAAGTAAGAGTATGCAAAATATTTCATTTGGAAATGTTCTGAACATGAACTTTGAAGAATTGTCTGATTTTAAGTATGAAACTGCTGCTTTGAGCATTTTGGGAATTTCAATTTTGATTCAGAACTATCCCAAACTCTAGATAGAATGCTCAAAAATTCCATTTCACAGTCAAAGTAACAGTTCTATTAATTTCACACTCAAATTGCCTTGAAATGTTTTGTACACCTCTATTAAACAGCACGAGCTACATACTGAGCCAATTAAACAACACATTTTTACAAATGGAAAGCAAGAGA